AGACGCCAGTGGTGTTCAGTTAGTTGCAAACTGATGATGACCTGTTTTTATCTATAGAGGGAGTGGGTCCTCTTCTACGGAGTCCGCCATGTTGAACCGCCAGGTTTCTACAGTAGCCCAGAATAAAAAAAAATAGATTATTATTGCTGAAGCATAAAAATGTAAGACACATTTCAGGTCTTAGTGGAACTAATTTAAACTACTTGATACTATTGGGCAGTTAAATGTGTACCAATGTCTCATATATTATAATGTATGCTAAAATTGTTGTGTATGTATATCAGTCTGAAAAATAACTAGTCAGTATAGCTATGACATAATTGTAAATATTTCCCTTTGAAATGTAGTGGACTAAAATTATTTAAATGTATTATTTATTAAAGGTCCAGTGTGTAGGTTTTAGTAGCATCTAGTGGTGTACTTGCAGATTGCAACTCACTTGCTTCACCGTGCCTTTCGAAGCGCGAGGGAGAAGCAATGGTGGCTGCAAAGTGCATGAAATAGAGGCTCTATTTAGAGTCAGTTTATGGTTCTGAGTCTGTTCTGGGCTACTGTAGAAACATGGCGGACTCCATGGAAGGTGGCCTGCTCCCTCTGTAGATAAACAGCTCATTCTGAGGTAATGAAAACACAATGATTCCTATATTCAGGTGATTATACACTAATGAAAACATTCGTATGAATATTATATTCCATTTCTGACAATAGAACCTCCTTAATGTTACACACTGGACCTTTAAGTAATAAAAAATGGATATACTCAGGTTAAAATTGTAAAAATGTAATTAAGTATAGTACTTAGAGTACATTAGTTAGTTTTCTCCACTGCTTTTATGAAAGGTGGTTCAATATATAGCAATATAGCAATCAATAGCATATTGGATCTACTAGTGGCCGTGAGAAGGCACAAGACTGACGTAGTCTAATAAAATAAATGTTAGAAATTACTTCTGAAAATGCTACAGTAATGCTGTAACTGGCTGCGACTGTGAGAATTGATGGGCCTTGCCTCACTGTTAGAAATCTTTTTCAAACGTGAAGTCCACCAGAGATGAAGCTGAACAACAATCTGCCCTCCACATGGAGAGGGAAAACACACTGCAGTAAAACACATGAGGTTAAGTGGTATCATTCTTCTCCAGAGAGCAGACGGTGTCTGTGGTTAAAAACTACACCTACGATGATGGCTGTGAGGCCTGCGGGACAGACACCTTCAGCAGAGAGCCCTTCGTAGTCATGTTCTCCTCCAAATTTACCGGTAGGGTCTGGAAGAGTGACAGTGCTTTTCCACCATCTAAGTGCCTGACTTATGTAGGATGCCGGGGTGTTTCCAGACTTTCTTTAGAGGGGTGGCACAAGTGGGTCAATGACTTATGCAGGGCTGGCTGTGTTTCGGTCGTCCAGTCATTCCCAATTTATGCAATTCCAATGCTGTTTATGGACCCCAGTATGCAGAAATATTCTAAAACACTATTCATATGTATGACATGGTGGGAACCAATGGATGCTTTAGGTTATCTAGTTTCATATGATACCAGTATCTTCACAAAACAGAGCCCACTGCAGCCTCTGAAAGGCAGTGTGGAGTGGAAGAGGTAAGGCTAACACCCCCCCCTCAGGACACACCCCTGGTAGGATGAGATTCTGAAGTCATGAGGTCTGCAAATAGCTACACTTTAACTCTAATTACCACCATAGATGATTCATATCAGCCAAACTGGGTTGTTAACAAATTTAAGCTCCCTATTTGTGATATGATGTATGTCTGCCATATCCAAAACTCTCAACTTCCTCCTTCAAGCATTTCTCTCTTCATTCACTCCTCCCTCCCTCCTCCTTTCTAGCTGTGAAGGACATTGTTCTGATCCCCCAGCACACCTCTCCAGAATCTGCTGTGAAGGAAGTGAATGCTCTCTATGATGTGGTGGTTGATGTCCGCACCCGCTGGGACACCAACGTGAATACTCTCTTCCACTCTACAAACACACCCACACACACTAAAAAAGCCATTTAGTGCCATTGCAGAAAACAAGATGGAGTGCAAAGGATAATTAAGGTGGTAAAGTATGAGATGGACATGAGAGTGATTGAATCGTTTCACTCTCCCTGCAGGACATCGTGCTGCTGGGAGACTTCAACGCTGGCTGCAGCTATGTAACAGGCTCTGAATGGCAGAAGATCCGCCTCTTCACCGACAAGAGCTTCCACTGGCTGATCGCCGACGAGGCCGACACCACAGTGTCACACAGTAACTGCCCTTATGACAGGTAAATGCACACATAGACTCTTACAGGTGCTGTATACAACTTTCAGGCTGAAGGTTGCACTGAAGCAACAGGATCTCAGACCAAAACAAGAGTCAAAAACTGGAGTGCCAGACTAATTTTACCTCCCAGATCATAAATCAACTTTAAACTTGACAAACAAATGAAACTCTCTAAGACAGTCCTCTTTAGTTTTTCTATTGTTCCAACAATGACCAACTCTCAAAAAAGGTGAGCACTGGCAGGCTCAAATTGTTATTGTATATGTCTGACAACATTATAAAAAGTATCCCTACAGAGACAGACCCTTTGATTAACCTGAAAAAGCCCATGTGTTGCTATCACTCACCACCAGATTCCATAGACAAAAACAGTAACTTAACCTTGCGGATAATCACAAAATTCAATTCAAACTACACAGAAACCAAATGATCACCAAAACAGTCTCTGTTAGTCTTTAAACTCTTCCAGCAATCATCTACTCCGGTTTGGTTGAAATAAATCCTTAATGTGTGGGACGAGTCATTCTCTGCTCAGAACACCATGATTCCACTATGTCTTTTAATAGCAAATAGTTGTTTGCTGCTATGTTAATGTTCTAAATCTCGTAGATATAACCTTTAATTCAACGCCTCTTCCTATATTTACAGGATTGTGGTCACCACTGACATGATGAAGGGAGTGGTGCAGGGCAGTGCCAAGGTCTACAACTACATGATGGATTTGAATCTCAGCCACAGTCTGGTAAAAATAACTTTAGATTCAGTTCTCCTTTGCAATAATTCACTTCAGTCGCAAGGTACAAAAAGGCTGAGCGTGGCCTATAAAGAGAAAATTAAAGCTGCAGTAGGTCATTTTTTGTCATATTTGCTGATATTTTTACTACTATATCCTGACAGTAGTACATGAGACAGATAATCTTTGAACTAATGAAGAACAAGAAAGATAGTCGATTGTTGAGTTTTATTCCCAGGACGTCAAATATTGATGCTGGGAACGAGACTCAACAATCAACCATCTTCAAGGCCCCAACCCAAAGCATCTTTCTATCTTTCTTGGCTCTCATTGGTTGTTTTCGTTCAGGCCCGGTGGATTCTTGCAAATGCCATTAGGAGCTCTAGGAGGAGCGGGAGAAATCTGATGTTTTCACAGATTATGTGTCTCATGTTCTACTGTCAGGATATAGCGAAAGTTTTATAGAAATGACCTACTGCAGCTTTAACACATGCTGAAGATGATGCTTTAGCTTGATTGCCAGTAGTTTGTGTTTTCACCTTGCAGCAGTGAAGTAGTCAGGGCATGGTCAGTGCACGGTGACATCACTGTTGGGTGTGGTTACAGGTTTAACAGACTGAAGAAGCAGGGGTCAATGAAACACTGCTTTTCATATCGTGTTAACTTAATCTTTAAAGGAATAGTTTGACATTTTAGGAAATATGCTTTGGCTTTCTGGTGAAGAGTTAGATGAGAAGATACCAACCAAACCTGCTTGCTATATTAGCTTAGCATAAAGACTGGAAACGGGAGAAAATAGGTAGCCTGGCACCTCTAAAACTCTCTAATTGTAGTGTAAAAACAACAATCCACCGTTTGACGGAGGGTTATGTACTGGACTTTTTCTTGCCTCTGAGTGGTTACCTGGCAACCATAGGAGACTTAAGGAAGTAATTGATCCCCATAAATAAGAATGGTCCCACACATAACTCCCAATACAACAGCAAACTGTCCTTTTTTAACCAGTTCTTGTTTTTATTGTTGACAATTTTGATCAAAAAAACATACTTTAGAGAGTAAGAAACGATTATTTTGGTACGCTCTAGAAAATGATGCTAATTAGATATTATTATTATATGATTTTTTAGTTGTTAGGCTTAAATAAGTTTACTGTTAATAGCCGTTTAGAGATGCTGGTGAAAAATGCATTTTGTTTTACAGTACACAATAAAAAATATCATACAAAGATAATAACACTTGCTTAACTTCTTTTTTGTTCACATTATCTCTCTCAGGCATTGGCCGTCAGTGACCATTTCCCCGTGGAGGTGAATCTGATTGGCCAGGCTGCTGCTGCTGCCTGAATCACGACTCCCACAACCCTTCCACAGGACCCAAGGCTGAATCTGACTTACAACTACCCAGCAGGGGAACTATCCATGCAGCCATGAATTAATAATAATTTTAATAATTCAATAAACAAATCTGCCAAATGATTTCATTGCAAACTTGCTTCTGGAACAGCAATGTGAAAAAGAAGTCTAATCTTTCATTCAAGTGAGACCAAAAACTCATTAGGAAACCGTTTACTAAGCTCATAAATCAAGTCAGAAGTCAGATCATTTCTCCATAAGACTCCGTACTATCGCTTTATTTTTTGGAGACAATGGAGCTGGCCACTGCTGGCCATCACATAGAATGATGGCTTCACTTCATAAACACTGAAGCTCCATGTTATATATACTGTCATTGAGCGGCACAAACAGAAGTCTATTCCCTTTTAGTGCATTACGCACCAGTTTCAGTGGCGGGAATTCAAAATCTTAGCACATTCACCTGACGCTATTTGCATATCATAACACCAGTAGGAGCAGCGGTACGTGTCTCTGTCCCCTCCAAACTGACAGTACTGGTACTTTTTACCTGGTATATGCAGCAAGACTTATTTCTCAATGAGACCATGAGGATAATTTTTTAAGACTCCAGAGATAAAATACTGCAAAAATGAATAGTACAATGGGATTTTGACCGTTCAATTAATTCTTTAATCACACCAATGTATCCACATATACACACCCATTTATTCTAAAAATTCTGGCAGAAAAGATGTTAGAAAAACTTGATGTAGATAAATCTGTAAGAGATTAGAAAGGCTCCACTCACTGTGGGTTATTCAAATACACCCAGGCTAACTTTATAGTTGTTATGGCTCATAAAGGTACAGTAAGGCTAGGCACTGTGAATGGTGAAGACCTGACTGTGACAAACTGACCGTTTACTAAACCCCTCCCCAAACAGCAATTGTCCAATCATAGCTTAGCAACCATAACTCGGCACGGCTGGTCCGTCGAACTTTGGATTTCTCAACATGTCGGAGCAGTGTGAGAGATACACTCAGGATTTAAAGAGGGTGAAGAGCTCTGTGTTTCTGTAGCATTCCCAAAACAGAGACCATAAGAACAAAAGATGGATAAAGAGTGTGTTTATCTGCTTTAATGTAAGCTTAAAATGTTAGCATGTCCAGCTAATTGGCTTACTAACTACAGTAGCAGGCTGATGTTACAAGGAGCATGTCATAGTTTATTATACATTTGCGACATTTGACGTGTGACGTTTACTTGCGTGTCTATTCACATGGAAATAAATAAATAATGCTAATTTTGGATGGTAAATCTGCCACCATTATCGTAAACTGCATACGTGTCGTGTGAGAAAGGAAGCTTGACAGGGGTTGCAATAATGTGGGTTAGGGCTTAGTGTACGGTCAATTTTAATCATTATTTAATTTATTTAGGTTCAGAGAGCTGCATTCAGGGTTCTTAGTACAACTGACACCAGCGAACACAGGACACTGAAGGCAGATGCGTATAAGTAGTCTCCTCTAGCCCTTTCTCTTTTTAAGCATTGCCAGATACATGCCGAGCGACTTCTGAATGGAGTCTTTGGTGATGAAGTTGACAAAGTATTGGATGTCAGTCTCTCTGTTGGACGTTAGCTTGTCGATGGTTGGCTTCCTCATCATGGACTTGGTGATCTGTCTGGCGTGGTCTGTAAAGTTAACAGATGAACAGTCAGCACACTGATTCCAAAGGTGAGGTTTACGGACCTCCAACCAAAGTATCATATTCTTATCTAGTATTCATGTTCGTATTGGCTTTAAATTCAAACTGGAACTGTAAATACTTAGTGTGTTCTAATTGGTGTACTTTGTACACATCGCCACTGTACCTGGAATAGCCAACCACTTGGTCATGGTCTGTGTGGCTGTGGTGAGGACCTGGTCTTCAGGTACCAGCTGGTCCACCAGTCCTATCTTCAGGGCGTCTGAAGGATTGTAGAGCATCCCCAACTCCAGAGCCATCTCTGTGGTTCGGTGGCCCACTGTGTTGATCATGGTGTCCTTAAACCTGCAGACAGCAGCAGGAATTGTTAATTATTGATTATTTGATTTAGTGTGACTACTAACATCAATAACCAAAACAGGTGTCATGCTAACAATTGCTTACCAAAAAGGTGCTACGATGCCGAGCTGTGTCTCATTAAGGCCGATGCTGTAACGGGGGTTGTCCGCCATTATCCTGTAGTCACATGCAATAGACATCAGACAGCCTCCCGCCGGACTGGAACCCTGTGGCAGGAGGGGCGAGGTAGGCTGAAGAGTAATCTGCAAGACGTTTGATTTTCTTATTTTTCTGTTTGTTTATACGTACATTGATGGCAGCTATAGTGACCATGTTGGAGCCATAGAGCTTCAGCCACATCTCCTGAACGGCTTTCCAGAATTCTCCACAGTGCTCTGGACTCTTCCTGTACATCTCCATGATGTCCAGCCCGGCTGAGAACACCTTGGGCTGGGTCTGGATTGAAGCAACACACACACAAAAGCACACTCAGGGTCAACTGTCAATGTAGACTCAGACTTAGATATGGAGGCATTTGTCAACTGTCTCCCAAATAGCTGATGAGTGGAGAATCAGGGCTAAAAATAATAGTGTAAACTGGGCTTAAGAGTATTTTCACTATGCTATAATGTACTTCAACCACCTTATACACAAACACAAGAAGACACATCTTAAACCTCCTGCACAAGGGCTCTGCTGCTTTAAACGCTGAGGGTATATTGTACCGAGGTGATGATGAGGCCTCGGCAGCTCTTATCCATCTCCAGCTTCTCTGTGGCGATGCTGAACTCTGTGAGGAAATCTAAACTGAGGCTGTTGACCGGCGGACTCTGCATTTGCATCACCGCCACACCTACAGAGAGAGGGAAAGAGAAAGGATTCTGTACAGATTTATACTAAAATGAAATAAAAACTAAAACAAATATGTATGCAGGCTTCCAGAACTCAGCTGTGTCTGTATTACCAGACTGCTATGAGAAAATGCTTCAAATCTTCGGAACGCTTACATTGAGATGACAATTGTTCAATACAAGAAGCTTATGTGAATGCTGAAATCCACTCCTGTGTCTGGATTTGTTTTATGTGTGAAAGGGGGCTTTAAAAGAAAAAAGAAAGAGAGAGAGAGAGACAGAGTGAGGAGGAGAGGGAGGACGAAGACAGTGATGATGGTAAAGTTTTCACCTGTGCTTTGGTCAAAATCCACTTTGATCTTGGGCGAGGTGGAGTTGTTTCTCTGCTGAGCAATGGGGGACGCACACACTCTGCCATGACTGCTGCAGGAGGACCGCAGAGAAAGGAGACCTGCACGCACAC